CCAGGTCCTGCCACCATAACAACCGTATGTGGAAGCATCAAGTGTGTGGTGGTGCTCATCTCTGGTCGACCGCTAGTGGTGGAACCCTATCTACCAAAGATTGATGCCTTGGTGGCTGCATGGCTCCCCGGAAGCGAAGGGCAAGGAGTGAGTGATGTCTTGTTTGGGGACTACGAGTTTAGCGGGAAGCTGCCCAGGACCTGGTTCAAGACGGTTGATCAACTCCCAATGAACATTGGTGATTCACATTATGATCCACTGTTTCCCTTTGGCTTTGGACTCACTACAAAACAGCCCATTGCAGATTCATAAACCATGATATTAAGTGCAGTTATATACAGAAAGTTTATCTAGCTTAGATATGAAAAATCTGTTTTGTGGATCAAATCGATCTTTTTTTCGAGATGTTCCGAATATAGTGGAATGAATAAAGGGTTAGCATTACAGCTAGCCTACCAATTCAGATGTATAAAATTTAATAGGAATGAAAAAACATAATCAATCAAGGAAGATTATTATGGGATACTATTGCCGCGAGAACTGTCTATCATTTAGTACTCCCTCAGAATGTTTTGTTGCATCATCTATTTTGATCTTCTCAATCTCTGAATGCTATCTATTTGTTCGTTGCAAAAAAAAAAAAGACTTTACTCTTAGAAGTTGTTAGTCTTGAATAAATGCATTCAGGTTCTTAAAGTTTTTAAAGAAAGTTATGAAAGTGAGATCTCTAATTGCACATGAAGAATAACAGCTTGATGTGATATTAGTTAGCTTTGAGTAAGTAACATTAATAAAAATAGAAAACTCCATTTTAACAAGGTCCAATTTCAGAAAATCAATTCAGGAACACTAATATAATCTTTTCAGCACTTTCAGCACTCTAATATGTAAGTTCATAAGGACTGCTACACTATACACTCCTTTTTGACTTGGTAAAGAAAAGTGTTTTTCTTTGTTTTAAAAGCAGAGATATATGTTTATTATTATTTATTTTTTCAAAGAATTGGTGTGCAGGCAGCGAAGGTTGCAAAGCAGAAGAAGTGTTCAGGTCTGTAGAGTAGTATTTAAAAAAAACTATAAAATATTAGGCATCTAAATTCATATGCAAGTTTAAAGGTTTTTTTTTTTAAACCTGGTGATGATTTCCTTTCAAAAAAAACTGGTGATGATCCCAATAGTGCCATGGTGTTACTAGTTTGGGTGTTCAAATGGGTAGTGTGGCCAATGTAATTACCAAACGTGTCCCTAACGAAGGCATCAATTTGAGTAATGTTGGGGCTAAGATTGCATGTGGTCAAGTTGACTTTGGTATAGGAATGTGGAGGCGCAACTTTAAAGGTTCAGGAACACAACCTCATGTTTGAACTATAAGATAAAATTAGTTCAGAAAACACAAAGAAACCCAAGATAAATTTAAAGACTTTGCAATTGGATCTTCAAAGGGTATTGTAAAACATAAGAGATATGTTGTGGCTTGTATCTGGACTTCGTAAAACATGAAAATTATTTTTCTGCGAACTTACAAGGCCTAAGTGCAGTGGCTGCTAGGTGACTTTCCCATTTAAAGGTCGTAAAAGGTCAGAACGCTAATCATACAGGAAGAGTAACAAGTTACTTGGTTTTAGTGAGGTGCATTCACAAAAGCAGTTTTAAAGGACAAGTTGTTAGTACTCGATTTTGATAGATTTTGATGATGCCACTATATTTAGCACGTGTACATTGTATCTCAATATTGTTCGTGTGTTAGCATTCAAAATTATGTGACAAAATAAAATGTACAATTTTTGAGTTAATTTGAATATTACCGGAAAAATTAAAATGCAATAAGGTAAATTTTATTTACCTTAATAGGATATTTAGATCCTACCGGTATATATTATTTTAGCTCAAAAGTCAACTTTATGTCACATTATTAAAGAAAATCGGAAAATCATATACTCTGAATGTATATGATTGAAGACAAAATATGGCCCCCATTTAATGCCAAAAATGTACTGGGGTCCTAAGCAGTGTACTTCCACATGGGACTATCTCCTGAAGTGAAGTTTGGGAGGTTGAATAATGCAAGACAAGGAAATCACCGGGAAATCAGCTCCAGCACAAGAAGACAATTATGCAAGTCGTCCTTGTCAATTTTCAACGAACAAGATCAATCCATCCTAACCAACGGATGAGATTAATCAATTGGAGTAGCCTATAAATATAGGCTGAAACGAAAGTTTATAACCAAGCTTTGAGCATCCAAAGAGAGAAATACTTTCACAAGCATTCACGAGCTATCTAGCAAAAGAGAAAGTGTTATTCTAAACTTTACTCTCTGCTTGGACTCATGCTTCACTAAACTTCCAGTTTACAAGCTATTCATTGATAAATCATAGAAGTTTAGTTCTCAGTTGGAGGTTAAAACTTTCTTGTAACATTTCACATATTGTTGTAAACACTTAGGAGAACAGTTGTTCGGATCCTAAAGTGTGAGTAGATAGATAGAGTACCTTTTGATCCCCACTGGTTCATTAGAGAAAAGTCTAAGGACTGGGTAACTTTGAGTGGTGCTATACTCATCGTGAAAAACCTTCAATCTAGGCCTAAGTGTTGTAAAGACTAGATTGGCACTAAGTGTATTGGGCTTAATACTTTAGTGAAATCCATCTGAAAGAGGGTGAGACTGGACGTAGGAGGATTACACCACCTCTGAACCAGGATATACGGTGTGTTGATTTACTTTCATTCAACAAAGCACACACTTAGCACCTCTTACAAAAAGATTGAAGTTTGCCAGCAGAATCCTAAGCAGTTGTCTTAACTGACTCAATTGCTTATCCTACTGCTTAATTACTTACTTTTTTGAGATCATTTTCATACAAGAGAAGTGCACCAATATCACCAAAAAGGCCTATTCTAATATTTCCTAGAAACTCATAGCATGTGCCTCAGCAGTCCCTTGGTATCCACCCAACTGCTGAGCTCTCTGCTCATATTTACTTGCTTCTTGTCAACATCTCAACATCACCAGATTTTCACTACATCATCAAGAAGTTTGCGTAAACCAATAAGCTTTTAACCCAAGCAGGTGCCTCAGCAGTTCCCTCACATTCACTCAAACTGCTGAGACCACTGCTTCAGTAAAAAGCTATAGTTTCTCTTCACTTAAGCATACTTACTAAAAGGTCTTACCATACTCATCAATAAACTATCCTTACCTTCATCATACTCTACATTTTCTGAGCAGTTGTCTCAGCAGTTCCCTACTACTTAGCCACCTGCTAAGCCAACTGCTAGCCTTCTAAGCCAAATACTCTCCAAGCTAGAAAGTGGCTAAACACTCATTACACAAAGGGTAAAAAGACTTCCGCTGTGCATCTATGAATCTCTCAAAAGTTTATAGATTAACTCTTTTAGAGGGAAAACTTTTAAAAGCAAAAAAAGACTTAAAAGTCTATTCACCCACCCCCCTCTAAACTTTTACCCTATCCGGGACCCACAAGTAAACAAAAGGCTTATTTGAATTATATGAGAAAGATAGTTCTAAAGACACCAATAATAGAAAAACACTTAGAAGTTTTGGGTTTAATAGAAATTATTAATAATAGAAAAACATTTTGAATTTGTGAGTCAACAGAAATTATTAAAAAAAAACTATGATGCAACCATCCTGTTTGCATCGTTTGCAGACATTCTGTAAAACATCAGCACTTGCATCATTCCAGCCTTAAGAAATCCTGGGCAATATTAAGTACATGAAACAATTTACAACCATTACACAAAGCAGGGAAAAGTAACAGTCAAAAAATCATGTAACTGTTAAACACTTTGGATTAAGGGTTAAAAAATTCATACAGTACCAACTAGAGTTGTTAGAGATCTGTAAAACCTCTCTAACCGAAACTAGAAGTTTCTTTACTTTTGCCGTAGCAGTCAATTCATTTAGTTGAAAGTGAAAAGTCTTCTTCATTTTGATCATTAAACTCATAATAAGGCCGGCAAGTGTCTTTGTTTTGTGTGATTTCAGATTTAAGACCAGCAACGTCTTCCATTTATAAAGCGTAGAAACATGAGAGTATATTTGAATATATTGAAAAAACAAAGCGAAGAATAAAATGTAACTAATTCCAGAAGTAAATAAAAAATCTAATTCCCTACCTTACTTATTTTCCCTTCATTAAACATGTTAATTTTATATCTCCACTTTGTGTGGCTAAATTTGACCAAATCTAATTTTATTAGCACCTTAGAGTTAGATCTTGCTAGGAAAACAATTTAAACACTTACTTTTTCTTGCATGTGTGTTGACATATGTAGTATAATGATGCTTGTTCAAAAAATTTCCTAAAGATTGATTACATTTTGTACAGTTTTTTGAATTGGCACAAAAAGTGTATTGCTTGTTTTTAAAACAGCGAAGTATCTTTATAGTTTTTGCAGTGAAGGTTTCAAATTTGAGGAAGTCTTACTCGGGTTTTTTTTTTGTGTGATCTCTTCAATACAAGTAAAACATGTGTGAAATGAATTGTTTGCAAAACTAAGACTCAAAATTATCGAATGCGGGTATTGTTTTGTTGTATGTGTGGTAAAAAATAATACCATGAGTAATCTAAATAAATGCACATTGCAAAGGAATGATGAAACAGTTTAGGATTGTAAGTGAATATATGAGTTTTTTTCTTCAAGGTTTAGTAATGTTTGAAAGCCAAGAGATCATTGTACATGTACAATTAAATTCTAAATCCAAAACAGTGGTTAAGGCATTTTGTCGAACACTTCATGGACATTGAAGATATGCTTGACTTAGGGGTGGGATCAGGATGATCCCGATCCCGATTGCCAAAATCCCGATTCCGTCCCGATCCCGATTTGAAATAAAAATGATCCCGAGTCCTATCTCGATTTAGTCGGGATCCCGAAAATAAAATCCCAATTAAGTTGGGATCCCGATCGGGATGCTTGATAAATCCCAACACGTAGTTATCAAATATAAATATAAAATGATAATTCATCAAGCAAAATCAAACTAATCATGGCAGCACAATTTCAATTCTAAATAAAACATACAACATAGAAATATAGAAATTCAATGATTTAAAATTATATGTAGTTAGCAGCAAAAAAAATTTTATCAAACGAGTTGAGCATTGCTTCTAGGAGTTCTAGAGTCTTGTCTGACTTCCGGACGGAGAAGAGCCTCGACCTCTCATCATAGAAGTGCCTCGACCTCTCGGCAAAGAAGTGCCTCGACCTCTCGGCAAAGAAGTGCATCGACCTCTTGACCTAGGAACACTATCACCTCTTGGCTTAGGAGTAGGATTTCCCCTACTCTACCTTGGACACCGTAGTTAGTGGCATTCACACTTGAGTTTATCGAAGTAGAACTAGATTGAGATGAATTTATTGTGATAGTCGGAACAATAGGAGCCACTTGAAGAGAAGTAGCAGGACCCATTTGAATGTTTTGCCAATCTACATGAACAAATAGTCATACGAATTACAGTATTACACATTATAACACGGTTATAACATTATAAAATTGTTATAGAATATAAAGTGAAACAAAAAATGCAGAACCGAACTAATAACAGAAAGTGCAGGCACAGGATGCAGAACTGAACTAATATCGAAAATATGTGAGCATCTTATTTGCTTCAATTTCTTCCCGGTCCTTGTAAAATTCAACTTCATCATCACTTGGTTCTTTGTAAAATGAAAAAGCTTCAGCCCTTAACCAATCACTAGTACATACTAGTGCCTCCACCATTCTTGGAGTCAATGATGCTCTGAATGGATCCACAACTCTTCTACCAAGGCTAAATGCATTTTCGCTTGCAACGGTGGAAGATGGTATTGCAAATATATCTTTTGCAATCTTGGACAGTATAAGGTATCTAGGGGCATTTACCTTCCACCACTCAAGGAGATCAAACGTCAAGTTCTTAGCACTTTCAAAAGGATCGGGAAGAAAAGAATCAACTTCATTTGATATCTTAGTCAAAGATTTTTCAAGTTGGTCCAAAATGTCGTCTTCATCCTCTTTGTCAACATCAGCTATGATTAAATCACTTTGTTGTGCATGCTCCATTGAACTAGTTCCCTTGTACTCACCATACAAATAGTTCAAGCAGTTTTTCACTTCAGTCACCATATATTCAATTATGTCGGCCTTCGTTTCAATAATGGTGTGTTGTTTCCTCAAGAGTTGAAGCTTAAATCTTGGGTCAAGTACAACATTAGCTATATAGATAAGTTTATTCACACTATCAAAACACCCCCAGTACATGACAAACTTAGTACTCATACTAATTGCTACTTTTTGTAAAGTAGGATTAGATGCATCTTTCTTCTTGTAAAAAATTGCCCTTTCCACGGCAAACATTTCTTTTAAGATCAAACTTGAAGTAGACCACTTACTTGCACTAAGAACCAAAGTAATATCATAAAACTTCTTTAAAAATGTGTAAAGGAAACCGCTTGTTCCCAATCTTCATCAACGGGCGGCCCCACTCTTTTCTCCTTCAGCTTTTTTTCCTCTTTCCAAACCATCTCATTAAAATAGTCTATGAAACTCACTTCTTCTTTCCCCAACCTACAAAAAACCTTTTTAAACTTGTACGCACTGTCAAGCATTTTGTAGGTGGAATTCCATCTTGTACGAACATCATATGGAACATTGGACATCTTATCCATTCTCTCCAATATGCAAACTACCCTAAATTTTTCCAACCTTTGTGGTGAGGAGTGAAGGTATTTCACACAATTTCATATACCTTCAATGGACATTTGAAGTTCCTTCAATCCATCCCCAACAATTAAATTAAGGATATGGCATGCACGTCTCAAATGTAAATACGCTCCCGCAAACATTAGAGTTCCCAAGCTATGGATTCTTTTGGCCATGTAATCAACTGCCACCTTATCAACAGTGATGCAAAATATTTTATCTACCCCCATGATAAGTCTGTATTTAGACACGCATTTGATGCATGTTTAGATCGACTTTTGATGGTTTTCCGAATTATTTTGTGTCACAAGTCTCATTTTTAGCTCAAGTCATAGTTATCGGGCGTTGGTTCGAGTTTTGTGTGGTTTGGAGTCAAAAATCAGGAATTTAGAGTCCGGCAGCGGCGCTTGAGGAGCAATCGGGATGATTCGAGACGCATTCGAGGGTGAATTGAGAGATTTGGAGGTCACCGGGAGGTTCACAATGAATATTTGATGACAAAAGAGCTCTAGGATTGGCTACGGGATCAAAAGAAAACAAATAAAGCTTGAAAACGACGTTCAGAATGACCTTATGTCAATCGTTCAAGATATTTCTTCGTAGAAGCATCCAAAGGACACGATTCAAGTTTCATATGAAAGACAACTTCAAGGTATACAAATCATATGAATTATGAAGACATCATTGCGAGAATGAGAGGAAGAAGATGAAAACAGACGATGAAGTCAGATGATACCTGTTGCAATTTCAGAATGAGACCTTCCACCATTTTATTCATATATCTTGATTGGATGATTCAAATCCAATTCGGGAAAATGTGGTGAATAGAGGACTTCATTATCTACAACTTTCACGAAGGAAGTTTTGTCAAATTCGTACTAGAGAAACGGTGAAAAACAGGACTAGAGAAAAGGTGAAAAACCTTATCCTAGTTCGACCAGAACTCGAATTTCTTCCCTTTTTCTATAAATAAGGCATTTCTAACCCTATTTTGGGGGAGCTTAGAGAGAGTGCCTAGCACGAAATTTAGAGAGCTTTTCAGTCTTGTTCATCAATCTTTTGGGAATCTTTGTAAGTTCTATCTTTTTAATTAATGACAATTAATTCTATTCAGCCCAATTCTGTTGATTCTTCAATTATGAATTGTGAATAGTTTAATTAGGAATTTGGGATTGATGAAGGGGTTAATCTTGATGTATGGTTAGATTCTTGATGGATTAATTGCATGAATGTATTTTAATTTGTGTTTGAATAATTTAACTGCTATCTCTTGTAACCTAGAACGCGCGCTAGAATTACAATTGCTTGTAGAATAAGTTAAGAGAGATCTAATTTATTCTAGGACACATTCACACACACTTAATCGCTCGCTAAAAGATTAGTAGCGATTAAGGGGCCATAAGCTCGCTCGTCTTGGCAATAATTTAGGATCCTGTCGCATGAGAGATCAGCCTGGTCCCCTAAATTATTGTACTCTACACCGCGAGAGCGGTAAGAACTTAGTAATGACTAGCTAGGCTCAATTAAATTAATTTTATGTAATTAGACCTGATCTGCCAGAAATCTAGTTATCCCAGAATCAATCCTTATTCCCTTCATCGTTAATTAGAAAGAACCCCTTAGCTTTAGTATTCATTTAATTGCAAGTTAATTTTCCAATCAATCAAATCTCGCACAATTTATTCTATTTCTTTTTAATCGCTGAGTTTAATTAATTCTTAATTCCCTTTTGTCCGTCCCTGTGGAGACGATACTCGTACTTACACCCTTTATTACGATCTATTTTAAGTGCGAGAAAACTAACATCACTTTTTGGCGCCGTTGCCGGGGACGGTGTCGGTTTTAAGGGTTAATGAATTTCAGCGAGACTTTTTTTTAGTTAGTTTTTTTAGTTTTTCGTAGGATTTTTTTTTTGTGCTAACCTTTCAGGTATTTTTCCAAGAGGCATGCTGAGATGAACCCATTCAGCCAAATTCCTGGAGGAATTCGTTACCCTCAAACCTCCATGGAATATTCACCATATACGTCATACCCTCCTTACACTCCTCCTCCTCAATACTACACACCTCATCAAAATTATTCTCCAACACCACAAAATCTTCAGCCATCTTATCCATATCATCCAACCACGCAACCCTTTCTGCCTAAGAATAACATTTGTTCCTTCTGTGGAGGATGTCACCATATATCTTTTTGCCCCGTTAAACCTGCATATGATCATCCTTACTAGGCAACTGCATACCCCACTTCTTCCTCCCCACAATTTACAAACACAAATGTTTTAGTCATTCCTACATCCTTGCCAAGTAATGAGCCATATAATCAGTGTAAGAATACACTTTCAGAAACTTTGTCTGAGTGCTTAAAGTATATGAGGGAAAGATCTTTAGTCATGGAGCAGAGCACTTCAAACATCATGAAGCATATAAATACCATAAGGAGCCATCTGGTAGAAGACCAATCCGAGGAGACCAATAGGGATGATCACGTGAGCGAGTCAGACTATGATGGTGGGAATATGATGGATGATACCCTCCCAGATGCTTTTGAAGACCCACCTATGGTTGAACTTGATCAAAATTATAGTAGTCTCGAGTTGTTTTTCCAAGAATACAGGCAAAAGTTTCGAACGATACAAGCTGTAACTGACAAAGTCACATATCATTGTGATTTTCATATAGAAACTCCCCATCCGTTTGATTTACCATTAGTCTCAACCCCTGACGAGGAGGGAATGGAGCAGATGAGTCATGACATTGAAGAAGAGTTGGGAAAAGATAATCACGAGCTCCAACAGAGTGGTAGCAAGGTAGATGATCCCCATGACGAAGAATTCCCGCTCCACATGCAAGATTACTTCTCGTACGTTAGTCCAGGTTTGGATTTCTTTGATCCATTCCTTGGTGATGATATTTCTTTTTGTGTGGAGAATGATCACAAATGCTTGGAGGATATTAATAAGAACGGTGTTACCGAGAGTTGGGATGATCACATGGGGAGTGATATAGAGTCTGGAGGAGAGGTTGTGAATGTTCATGATATTTGTGGAGAAGAAAAAGGCTTTTCTGGTGCAGTTCGATTACGGTGTTGCTCCTACTCCTTGTTTTGAAACATCTTTTGAGCTTCAGGTGATATCTAGAGTAATTAAAGTTTTGACTTATGTTCTCTATCCACCCAAAGAGGATGTCATTTTCATCCTTCACTTTTGTGTTAATGAGGGTTATGAAGATCATGTGCTGCCTACGTGGACTCGAGAATTTAGAGGTCTGCACCACTTAATTTCATTTGTGGAGCGAAAGTTAGAAGCTTTGAAAATTAGTGCACCATTACAGTCTTTGCTATTTGAGAGCATATGAGGTATCGTCAGGCAAACGACGTTAAAAATAACGCTTCTTGGGAGGCAATCCAAGTTTAATTCTGCACTTTTGTCTTTGTTTGTTTGCTTTCAAGAAAACCCCCGAAAAAAAAGAAAAAAAAAATCTGGGGTGTTTTCTGTTTTTGTGTTTGTGTGTTTTGTTTTTGCAGCTCAAGGTCTTGTTTTGGGGATGATGTGTCGATGATCACTTGACTCGGTTTAGTTCTGCACCGACCAGCGCCTTAGGGAAGTTTCTGCAACTCTTATAATCGCCTATTTGTAATGTTGACTTGAGTTGAGATTGAGCGCGCGTGACCCTTTCCTCTTTACCCCTTGTGCATAGTGCATTTTTTGTCATCGAGTGTGATGCCAAAGTTTAAGTGTGGGGAAGTGAATTGGGCATTCGGGCAGTAGTTGTCACATGGGATTTTTAGAGTTAGCATGTGCAGGTGTTAGTTGTATATTCATAGAAATTTCATGTCTTTGTGAGCTGGCTAACGTTTTGACTATGCTTTTAGAACATCTTTGAAGTATTTAGGGTTAAATTGTTTGCACTATAATCTAGTTGTTGAAAGGATAAAGGCATTAGTAACCCATTTAATTCATAATTTTTCCATCTCACCTGAACAAGTCCTTTAGGAGAAGCCAATTTGAGTCTGCCTGTTTTATTCTTTACCCAATCTATTGAGCTTCATAGCCAAATAACATTTATTTCTTGACTCGTGAATAAATCTGACGAAGTCTTGATGTTTAGGGAACTAGGGGATTAATTTGTTAAGTTTAGGGAACTTTGGTAGGAGCCAATTTTGGCACTATTCCTATGCCCCAAATGAGGTAAGAGCTGTCACTTTTTAGGAATTTGATATTTTTGAGGATTGCATTGTAGGCATAGATTCACTTTGAATAAATGAACCTTAATTGCTAATTTTCCTTGGTGAGGCTGAGATTAGAATGGGGTAATGTCTAGTGAAAATATGAAAATTGAAAAAATTAATTAAATGAACTAGACCTCTTACCTTGCGAAAAAGAGAATGGGAGACCCGGTCAAAAAGCGCAAGTGTTTTGCACAATAAGATGAGACTCGTGGATCTTTCGAAACAAATGGCGTTCTCGTGCCAACATAATAAGGAAAATTAAACTAAATAAATTGAACTTGGAGACTTTAGCAAAATTAGCTTTAGTCCTTTGTGTACTTCAAGTATATGTCAAAACACCAATGTGCCACGGCGGTTTAACTTAGTTGTACACCATGTCTACTCTTTGCATAGATTTAAATGATAGTTCCTAATTTGTATCCTGCATAACTCCCTGATCCTAAGTATAGCCCTAAAATTCCTGAACGCATTAAATTTTTGTCAGATTATTCCAAAACTCTCAAAGAAAGGGATTTTTATTCTTGCTCATCCATTATTCACCACCTTCTTCACAAGTCCTTCTGATCAATAGCTAGTTCATTAGTGTTTGCAACCACTACTTCAAGGATGTTGTGAATAATTTTGTCATTTAAGTTAGCTAGAGTACAAGGATGTAGTTTAGGGAAGAATTTTCTTTATTTAGTCTTTCTGTCCCGTGAATATCCCTTTGACTACGTGTGCATGCTGATTGTTTTTGAATTCCGTGTGGTGATTATCGTAAGTTCCGATGTTCAGATTGCTTGAGGACAAACAAAAGCTTAAGTTTGGGGGAATCTGATAAGTCTGTATTTAGACACGCATTTGATGCATGTTTAGATCGACTTTTGATGGTTTCCTTAATTATTTTGTGTCACAAGTTTCATTTTTAGCTCAAGTCATAGTTACCTGACGTTGGTTCAGTTTTGTGTTGTTTGGAGTCAAAAATCAGGAATTTAGAGTCCGACAGCGGCGCTTGAGGAGCAATCGAGATTATTCGAGACGCATTCGAGAGTGAATTGAGAGATTTGGAGGTCACCGGGAGGTTCACAATGAAGATTTGATGACAAAATAGCTCTAGGATTGGCTACGAGATCAAAAGAAAACAAATAGAGCTTGAAAACGACGTCCAGAATGACCTTATGTCAATCGTTCAAGAATATCTCTTCGTAGAAGCATCCAAAGGACACGATTCAAGTTGCATATGAACGACAATTTCAAGGGATACAAATCATATGAAGACATCATTGCGAGAATAAGAGAGGAAGAAGGTGAAAACAGACGATGAAGTCAGATGATACCTGTTGCGATTTCAGAATGAGACCTTCCACCATTTTGATTGGATGATTCAAATCCAATTCGGAAAAATGTGGTGGATAGAGGACTTCATTATCTACAACTTTCATGAATGAAGTTTTTTCAAATTCAGACTAGAGAAACGGTGAAAAACAGGACTAGAGAAACGGAGAAAAAACTTGTCCTAGTTCGACCAGAACTCGAATTTCCAACCCTGAAATTTTACATAGACCTAACAAATGAAGTTCCAACCCAAATTAACTCACAAAAAGTAAAAGAGAAATAACTAACTCAATAATCAAGAAAAGCAGGGAGTTGTCACTGAGGAGTCTTCGTTCTTCCCTTCTTCCAGAATTCCAGCCTCCAGGAGCCCCCTTTGAAAGTCACTTGGAGTATTCTTTGAAAGCTACGAGCCTGCAACTTTCGGAAGTTTCATTCCCAGACTTGAATAGTTTGAAAGCTACCATTTTCATTCCTTTGACATTCATGTCTATCTTATTTGGGCTCCTTTTTTGGGCCAATTTAAAGTTTAGGTTAAACATCTAAATGGACCCACTACAATTTAGAAGTAATATAATGTTAATAGTTATATACCCGTATTATGTAATTTCAAGTCGGGATGTCGGGATTCCCGATTTTTTAAAAAATAAATCCCGCTCCCGTCCCGATTAAATCAGGATCGGGATAAAATCCCGATTAATCGGGATCGGGATAGTCGGGATCGGGATAGTCGGGTGCGGGAATGTCGGGATCGGGATCGGGTAAAATTTCTCAGCCCTAGCTTGACTATGGAAAGTACTTGTTAACGTAATGTGTAAACAAGGTGGACTTCGAAAGGAACCCAAATAAGAACGTATGTATTGTGTACACATAGACTTTCAATACTGACAAACGAATTAGCAATATCAGAAACTGTTTCCCAAGACGATGGAGAAATTTAATAGATTCGAAATGAGTACCATTAAACATTGAAGTTTGGAAGGGCGGCAGTGCGGAGGAAGAGATGCTCCTTGTTGACTTGTTGCCACTTGCCTCTAATATATACAAACCTAACTTGGAAGTTTGCTCCGGTTGAGAACTGCAAAACGAGAGAATCGGCGCATAGCAATTGTAAGGTTTTCTGTAAACTGTAACGGGAGTTTTAGGATATAGACGGCAGATAATACATAGACGGAAGTGAACGGAAAAAATACTATGATAACGTTAGTTGTCTCTTATTATCTAATGGCAGATATAGTCAAAACATAAGCAACGTATTTGAAGGTCAAAGAACTGGCAGTTTTTTTTCTTCACGACCAAGTAGGCAGTGGCTAGGAAGGAGCAGGCTGCCTTGTGGAAGGGCCATGGCCCCTACTGTTCAAATGCGATCAGTTGTACCAGTATGCTCTGCCTCAAAGGCCCACACCCCACGACCAGGTGGCATCATCTATCAAAAGCGTGGCTAGACGTAGGGGTGAGCAAATAACCGACAAAACCGACAAAACCGAAAACCGATACCCGAACCGACCGAAAAAGTCGGTCATCGGTCGGTCATCAGTTATTACATATTAAAAGAAGTCGGTTATTTGGTTATTCGGTTAATGGTCGGTTATTTTAATCGGTTATCGGTCGGTTAACCGAAAACCGAATTATAGTGTACTCCATATAAACGTTTGTATGTACTTCATTTATGCTATGATGTTTCACTTAATAACATTTCATAATTACTCTAAGAAATAATGTCAAATATATGATCAAAATTAATATTGTGGATACAAACATATCATGAATGGTATACTCATGTTAACTTTGATCATATTCTAGTTTACTTTAGTATCTAGTACTCCATAATATGTAAGGAAAGCCCTCATGTTTTAATAAATCTCATGTATTTAGTAATTAGTGGTTAATCCAAAAGAGATAAAATGACACCCGTGCACAAGAAAAACTATCAGTAGCGTAAGAAAACTAATTTTATTATGAGATGATTTAATTCATTTCTTCTTATTTATTTCATGAATGAAGAAAAAGTGTTTTATATATGATCAGTTATTTCATTCATTTTGGTTTGTAATGTAAAAAATCAATTATTTTCATCCATTTTTGTATCAAATATTTTTTCTAATATTTTTATTTAAAGCATTCAATTTTTTGGAAAAAATGTGCTTAAAAAGTTTATATGGTCAGTTATTGTCGGTTATTCGGTTACCGACCGAAACCGAACTAGGTTTTTCGGTCGGTTACTATGATGTTATCGGTCGGTTTTCGGTCGGTTATTAGAGTGAAAATATTTGATCGATTATTTGGTTATCGGTCGGTTATTTGACCAACCGACCGAATGCTCACACCTAGCTAGACGTACAGAAGAGACATATCACCGTATTTGAGCAGCAAATTCTGAGTTTTCTAGCCAGGTTCCATCAGTGAATGAGTTGCTAATTGTGTTAGTATCAATCTCAAAACAAATGGAAACAAAGGACCATATATATTTAGATAAACAACTCTGTAAGTATTTATAAACTTAATGCTCATCTTTGAGAAGTCATTTATAAACAACTCTGTCATAATAGATAGTACGAAGTATAAGATAAGCATATAACTATATATACATTTTTTAGAAGTCATCTAATAATGACAATTCATAACCCAACTATCAAAGGCTAACCGACTAATGCTTTACTATATTTAGCAACTGCTAACCTTTAGCAGCTGATTTTTAAAATAAACTTGTAGTTGCAACAGCTTCTTAATGCCAGCCTTGAATTTAATTATCCGCTGCTTAACTTGGATCAATTTATCAATCAAAGTGCATTTCCTTATGGAGGTTAGCCACCTCCAGCTTCAACTGGATGGTATAATTGACTGCATTTCCTCAGATCTTCTCCATCAGTTTGTCCGTACAATGATCACTCTCAAACATCTTCTATTTCTTCTTTGGTGTTGCTGCTGCCAGTGATCCCTCAGCTATAGCTTTTTATACTCCCAGACCAGCCAGAAGGAAGCTTTATGGAGTAGAATCTGATTCCATTTTTATCATATTGGGGGTTGGGACCCTTCAGTACGTCCATCTAAGGAACCATAGATAAAAGTCATCGAAAATGAAAAGGCACAAATAGATTTTAAATACATATACATATATATACACACATACACACATATTGACATATAAAAGATTCAACACATATTAAACATCCAAACAGAATATAAAAAATAAAAAACTGCATTTGGACCAACCCATTTAGGTTCCCTTAGACCAGCATAAAATCAAATCCGCGGAAGAAAGAAATTAACCATAGGCTAGCTAGTTAGAGAAGACAGCTCTTTACCTTTCCTCACTCTCCCTAGCGACATCAGTGACCAGAACCATTGACCGCTGTTGTCCCAAGCCCATCTATCACCAAAGCATCAGCCGCATCCTCACACCCTAGTGGTAACTGATACACTTTGCAGCCCTGACAAACCCATCTGTTACTGAAACCTTCCTCCATTCTTCCATGCCTATTTGTGACCTTAACACTCCGCCGCCCTACCGATCACATCAATGACCAGAACCTTCCACCAGCCTCAGTAACAAATCGGCTACTTAAATCAGTGCATAGTTCGTGATTTGCGTTACAACACTAAGCATGCTTTGACACTTAATTATATGACTCTTGAGAAGCCCAAGCATTGATCAAAGATGAAGAGCTTGGTATATTTAATTATTGCCGCTGCAGCAGCATTGGGATAATACCATTGATCGCGAAAACTAAAAACTGATTGTAGAATATTAATTAGCATTAATTGTGTTAAACAGTCTAGGCAATGAGCGCTTACAATTCCCGCTCAAAATGGCGCTGCACTATTGCGTTTGTGTATATATATATACATATATATAGACAAGAAGATCATTTCATGGACAGAAAAAAGTCAAAGTAGGGAGATTAAAAGAGGATGACCAAAAATCATTCCATCATTATCCCACAGTCAATAGATATAGATTGAAGTGTGTTACAGTTTTTATCAGTCCATAAAAATAGATCAAAAAATAGCCGAATTAAAATAAACAAATATGTGTGCATGTGTGGACTGTATGTGTATAATAAAACAGGCAAGAATAAGGAACAAACAAGTTGAGCATTGAGGTCCTTGAGCATTTCTTCATCTTTACATGCATCATATATCATTGTGCCAACTCTACAGATCATTAACAAGTGTAAGGAGAGGAGGGGAGGGAAGTTTTACTTTTCCCTGGTCTGGTTAAAAAAGTTGGGAGGGGAGGAAAGCTTATCTTTTTAATCCTTCCTCCTCTCCACTGTTTTTGCTTTTTCTTCAATCAAATGGGAGCTCGCTGCATACGCTTGAATGAAATACAACCTTAAGCAAAAACAGGAGCTGTTGCACAGGCACCTAGATCTTCCACAACTTGAATTCATCCAAAAGCAAATCATCATCAGCAGCAGCAGCATCACCATCATCATTACCCCAGTGCAGCAAAGGCTCCCACCTACGATGGGGTAAGGGGGTCGGATGTACGCAGTCTTACCCATGTACTAATGCACACAGAGGCTGTTTCTGGATGACTCATAGTGAAAATCGCATCCAAAATTGCATAGAATGACTGCTGCTTCATAAAAAAGAAGCGCATACAATTTAGTGAGTCACTTTGCTTTATTCCATCATATTCTCAAGCCATAAAATAGTGAATCTTTGGCTCCATTACAAAAGCAAATCAACATGTCACAAAATTAAAAAAAAGTAATGATATCGCAAACATATTATGGTTTTCAGAAAGACCAACTTAGATTTTAAAATAAACATATGAGAAAATACAAAAATGGGCACGAAAACAACTCCAAGTATTGATGCAACATCTCAAAGATGGCAATGTTTCACTTAAAAAACGTGTAACCAAATCAGATCTGCGTAATTAGCACAAAAAATGGTCAAGGTAAATTAACAAGAGAATTTCATGGGTCAACCACTGGTCAAACTAAAGACAGTAGTGCATCTAAACATCACTCATGCAGTATTACTAAGGAAACAATTACCCCAAAATGTGACTTAAATATAGCCACTTTCCCAAGTAAGACTAACATCTTTTCATTCCTAAAATAATACGTAGTACTCCGTACCTTTTCACACACAAGTATTAAATTAGTAATACTTAGGAAATACTCTCATAGTTCGGGAATTTTTCTATTACAAACCCAGCTAGAAAAAGTACCCTGATAAATTGTGGGTAATGGAATAAACTTACTTAGCAAGGCATTAAGTTGGGTTCAAACTTTTCAGACTCCCTTTCGATGCTATATCTAATTCCAGAACCAAAAGCAGCCATCTTATCTGACAGGTTCTGAATCGCCTCGCCCTTATTAGCCAATTCCATAAGAACCTTGATCCTCTTAAAAGCAACATTGCTAGGCTTATGCCCCATCTCCATCATTTCCAAGAAACATCTCTCTGCCTCTCTTAGCATCCCCAAATCACAAAGCAAATCAAATAAAACATCAGACACCAATGTGAATGAGCCGAAACCTTTCTCAACCATGTCATTCCATAACTGTAACGCCATATCTGTGTTCTCATGTCTCCTCATCAACCTGATCAAGAACATACACGATTGTGTGTTTGGCAAGCACCCTGTCTCCTTCATTCTCATATACAAACTCCATGAGTGTTTCAAATCATTTTCCGAATAAAATGATCTTAAAAATAAATTATAAGTAGTTGCATTAGGATTTAAGCCTTTCTTTACCATCTCTTCCACAAGATTATGTGCCTCCCCGATCCTCTTCGCAATACAAAAGTTTCTAATTGTGGCATTATAAGCAGCAACATCAGGGTAGCATCCATACTCCCTCATTTCGGTTAAAAGCTTCTTTGCTTTATCGGGTTGCCCTACAAGCCCTAGACCACCAATCAAACTAGTGTAAGTGATCACATCAGGATCAATGTCCTTATTCCTCATCTCCTTAAGAACCTCAAATGCCTTATCAACCTCTCTCCCCTTGCAATAAACATCAACCAAACAGTTATACGAAACAATGTCTGGTTCCACATTATACTCCCTCATCTCTGAGAAAAAAAGCTCAGCATCTTCGATTGATTTCCATCCTGACAAGAGTGTGTTAAAGGTCTGCAAGTCTGGCTTGAAATCCTTCTTCAAGCTACGGTACACATTCCTTGCATCTGCCATACTCTTTTCCTGACACAATGCTCTCAACAAAGCATTGAAAGAATGGGTATCGAATTGGGGAACAAGTCTCTTGAACTTCCAAAAGGACTCAACTGTCCTCGAAACAGAGCAAACCTTAGCCACCCTTGCTAAAACCACTTGAACAGTTCTTGAAGAGATCAAAGACTGGTCTTTTCTCTTCATTTCCTTTAAAATCTCCCACACTTCGTCGAATTTCCTATTTCTACCCAGGATGTAGAGCATAGTGTCGTATGAGAAAGCAGTGTGGAAAAACTGGCGCCTGTTTGAAGTGAACTTGAAAAACTCTAGGAGGTATGATGGGTTGGAGTGAGAGAATCTTGCCCTTTTCAGTACACTGTCAATCGTTTCATTTGAGATAGAAATTTGAGACAACTTCAGCGATTGTTTCATGTCCTCTGTGGTTCTTGATGTAGTGACGATACGGAAGATTTTGTCTACGTCGTCGTTTTGAAGAGTAGATGGATGAGTATGAAACCGGCGGCAAATTGGGATAGGAAGGAAATAGACGCTTATAATTCTCGATAACGGAGTTGACGAAATTGAAGTAAGCTGGCGTGGAATGGCCATATTTTTCTAGGTTTCCAAAACTGAGAGTAGAGAAATGAAATTCCGAGATTGCTTGTAAAGGTGCAGTATGCAGGGAACGGCTATGGAAATTGCTGCGGCTCGGTGTTTGCTAGGCGGAACCACCCTATTCTCGAAGAAATCTACAGTGTACACGCTCGGTTACACAGCGTACACATCACAAAAGCCCCCACCCCCTCCCGCATTAACCTCTCCCCTCCCTCCTTCATTTCTTTTCCTTTTATAGAGTTTTTTTTCGAATTAATGTTAATTAATTAATTAATTACGAAAATATGGTTGGGTTAAAAGTATTTACCAATATACTGTTGGATTAACCGTGGTCGGGGGAAAGTCGTCAAACGGTTGGGCGACTTATAAGTCGTCAAACCGTTTGGCGACTTATAAGTCGCCCAACCGTTGGACGACTTTCCATTAAGTAAAAACAGCGACCAGCCACAAAACAGAACATTGCGAACGAAACTCAATCCCCAAATCCCCCAAGCAGCAGCTAAGAAGGACGAAGGACGAAGGACGACCGAGTAATTTCCAACTCCGACGAACTTCCATATCCGGCGACCCCACTCCGGCAAACCTCCATCTTCATCTTCAACACTCTTTCTTCTTTCTTGTAGGTAAATCAAACTCCATTTCATCTCATTTTTAACTTAGGGTTTTGAATGTTAAAATTTTGGAATTTTTAGATTATGAAATGTTGAAATTTGATTTGAAATTGATTGTAAATTTTAAAGTGTATTTTGACATTTGGGCATTTGGGTGGATTTGAATGTAGCTAAATTTGGGTATTGAAATGTAGACTTGAATGTAGATATCAAAATTTGGGTATTTTCATATTGAAATGTGAGTTGTTTGTGAATCTTGACTTTTGGATATATTTGAATTGTTATTAGAATATGGATTTCTCAAGCTTCCCAATCGTGTGTCATTGGGGAGGGAACTATTATGAGGATGCTGGTCAAATATGCCATGAAGGTGGTACAACCACATTTGTCGTGGTTTGTCGTGGTGCTTGCATGCTCGAGATCCTTCAAAAAAGGCTAAAGGGTCAAATAGGTCCTTGTACCCTTTCAGATTGCTCAATTTGCTTCCTCAACCCAAAAAAGCTCCAATTGGCACCCTGAACTCTATAAAAATATTCAAATTTCACTTTTTGCAGGTTTCAATCTGGTCACCGCCACGTCACCCCGGTAGGGTGCCAACTGTGCATGTGACGTGGCAACTTAGGGGGTCAAATAAGCCCCTGAACCCGATCGAATCGTACAATTTACCCCTCAACCCTAAAAAATGTCAAAAAAAATTTAAGGGTTGAGGGGGTAAATTGAACATTTCAGTCGGGTTCAGGGGCTTATTTGACCCCCTAAGTTGGCACCCTACCGGGTGATGTGGCGGTGACCGGCTTGTGACCTGCAAAAAGTAAAATTTGAATCTTTTTATGGAGTTCAGGGTGTCAATTGGAGCTTTTTTGAGTTCAGGGGGCAAATTGAACAATCCGGAAAGGTATAGGGGCCTATTTGACCCTTTAGCCTTCAAAAAATACATACAGCCACAATGATTCATCCTAGCCGTTCTTTGCGTTTGAAAATGAAATTTCCCATGAACGGGGGAAAGTACATGCTTATGCCCCTCACTGATGAGCTAGCTATAACAAATATGTGGGCCATAGTTCAGATGGAGGACATGTCAATGCTTGAGATATACATTGAGGAATCCATATGTGACGTTTATCGTACTCCATCAACATCAAATGATGTTGTATCTAGGCATTATGTCAATGCAGATGTGAATGTTGGGAACTCCTCAAATGCTCCTGTAATGGACATGGTTATACAGGAAGATGGTAGGTATTTGCACAACGGTGCATCATTTGTGGATGAGCAGGGAAGTGATGATGATGCTGACGACAACATCAATGGTGAAGATATGACAAAATCTGATGAAGATGATGGTGATACAGTCACGGCAACTGCCCCGTCTACCCACTTTACTAGAATGTATGATCTCCCTGAAGGCTTTACTGATGCGTGGCTCAGTGTTGCATGAAAACATATTAATTAATAAAATTGATGATTAAAAAAAATTAGTATAATAGTAAAAATTAACTAATACGATTTTGTTTGTTTGTAGGCATGCAGGTGACAGCGGATCCTAGGTCGAGTGATCAAGATGACCATGACAACTTCTACTTTGTCTTTTGTATTGCAGTTTTTCTTGTACAACATTTTAGATAATTTACAACATTTTAGATGTTGTAGGAACAATTTACAACATTTTACGTATTTTCTCTTGTATGTTGTATTTATGTGTTCGAGTATGAATATTAGATGATTAATTGTTATGAATGTTTGATGGTTGTACTGTGTTTTACCGGTGAGTTGTATGTGTTTATGTATGTGTTTGTGAACATGTGTGTTGTATGTTTTATAATGTGTTTCATCTCGCTCGTAACACTTAAACGGGAGAATGGAGACCTTATTTCTAGCAAAAAGATGAGTCTGGGTTGAAATGAGGCAAAAAAATTGATGAAATTCTGTTTTCGGAATTAGGCACGATCGTGCCTACCCGTCCAGGCACGATCGTGCGTGGCTAGCAGTAGCTGTTGGTCTGCGTTCATATGAAGGGGGAAAGTCGCCCAACCGTTGGGCGACTTTCCCTAACCATTGTTAAACCCAGCAGTAGATCGGTAAATATTTTTTTACCAGCATTATTTTCGTAATTAATTAATTAATTAATTAACATTAATTCGAAAAAAACTCCCTTTTTTCCTCTCCACCTGGCTCAAGTCAGGTACCCCCGCTTATTCCATAGATGCTCTTAACCGTCAAACTCCCAATCCCGAATTTTCTACTTGGTTGAGAATTGATCAAACAATCCGTTAATGGTTATTTGCAACCCTATCTAGGGATGTTCTTATCGATGTGCGTGATTTAAAACATTCATATGAAATTTGGGAGCGGTTAGAGTCACGGTTTATGTCTGCAAGTTTAGCCAGATCTATGGGATTAAAGCGCTTATTTAATCAAATTAAAAAGAAACCTGATCAGTCCATGGATAATTATTTGCGCGAAATTAAACCATTAGCTGATGATCTTGCCACATTCAATTGTCATGTGCCTCCTCGTGAAATTTTAAAAACTACTATTATGGGACTGGGACCTGAGTATGAATCTTTATTCACTGTTGTGTCATTATTTGGACAAAATTTCCCGTTTGAGACTCTCCGTGATCATCTTCTTGAGTTAGAGCAGCGGGTCCTTTATCTCCGCTCCTAGGAGTCCCAGTCCCTTCATCAGGCATTTGGCGCGACTGTCTCTTCTCCCGGACAACCTTCAGGCCAGCAGACGACTCAGCCTCATTCGGGATCCATGCACCCAGTCGGGCAGCAGGCTTACCCGGTCGAGGCCGCGGTCGCGGTAGAGGCCGCGGAGGCAGGGGCGTGGCCGAGGATAGCAGCAGCAGCAGGCATATTGGTACCCCCAGGGGCAGACAGTTTATTACCCCGGAGGGGGTAGGCAGCCGAGTACACTTGCAGGGGGTGTGACATCTACAGGTACTGTTATTTGTAATTCTGTTGTGTCACATTTAAATATTAATGCTTTACCTGTCTGTGTTACTAACCGTAGTTCTGCAGGCTTGCCATCAGATGTGGGTATTCTTGGGTCTGTTCCCCATCATGTTGTCTGTCAAATTTGCTTTTCTGCAGGTCATTCTGCCATCAATTGTCCTTCTCGTTTCACACAACCGTCCGCCACTGCTCTGTTGATTACTCCCGGTGACACTACTCCTGCTCTATGGTTTCCTGATTCAGGAGCTTCTGCTCATATGACTGCATCTGAAGGTATTTTAGTTAATAAATCTCCCTACACCGGCTATAATTCTGTTAGTGTTGCCAATGGTGCCCATCTTCTCATATGTAATGTTGGTGATGTTGCTTTACCTACATCTGGTCGTCCTCTCACTTTAAAATCTGTTTATCATGTGCCTCAGTTAAAATATAATTTAATTTCCATTAAAAGACTCTGTGCTGATAATAATTGTGCTGTAAGTGGGCGTTTGGATTTGATTCTTAAAACTGCTTCTGTTCCTTTAGGGAGCAGAAGCACAAGTTGGGGTGTTTGGGTGAAAGTGCAGAAGTGATTCTGGTGCTCTAATTTACTCCTAGAATGAGTTTATAGAAGCTGGGGGTGACCAACTTCTGAAAATTGATTCTGATTCTGCTTCTGCTTTAAAAAAGAAGCAGAATCAGAATTAGTTCCAAACACCCCCTAATTTTTTATAAAAATTCTTTTTTGATTAAGGACAAAGCAACGGGGGCAGTACTTCTGCGAGCTACCAGTAGTGGGTCACTTTATCCTCTCCATCTACCGCCATCATCACCATTAGTTTTTGCTTCCGTTTTAGCTTCTGGCCCTGTGTGGCACCGTAGATTAGGTCACTGTGGTGATAGTATTTTACAGTTTCTTAAGAGAAAACAATTTTTATGTAGTCATACTCCCTTTACCCATGAGTGTGTGGCTTGTCATTTAGGAAAATCACAACGTTTTCCTTTTATGGATGTTAGTCATAATTCTGTTTTTCCTCTGGAAATTATTCATTCTGATGTGTGGCAGTCACCTGTGTATTCAAATTTGGGATTCAAGTATTATGTGTATTTCATTGATGATCTTTCTCGTGATACTTGGATATATCCCATGTGTCACAAAAGTGATGTTTTTATGCACTTTAAAAATTTTAAAGCTTTGGTTGAAACTCTTTTTAATCAGAAAATTAAAATTTTTCAAAGTGATGGGGGAGGTGAATTTGTTAATAATAATATGCAGCAATTTTTTTTCTGCTAATGGCATTTATTTTCGAAAATCTTGCCCTAACACACCTCAACAAAATGGGGTTGCTGAGCGCAAGCATCGTCATTTACTTGAGTTAACTCGGACCATGCTTCTTGAAGCTTTGGTTCCGAGTCACTGTTGGGTTGATGCCATATTCACTGATGCATATATTATTAATAGATTACCCTCTCCAACCTTAAATGGCTTTTCTCTGTACCAAAAACTTTTTAACCGTGTTCCGGATTACTCCTTTATGCGAGTATTTGTTTGTGCCTGCTATCCAAATTTTTCGGCCACCTTAACCAATAAATTATCACCTCGTTCAGTTCGGTGTGTTTTTCTTGGCTATGCATCTGGTTATAAAGGTTATCATTG